CTGAACAGATCTGGTCACCATAATCGAGTTTCAATAAAATTAGGGCTGAATGTAGGTGAAGGAGAGATCTACAATCAGCTTCCCATGAAAGATGAGCAAGGGTTTCAAGAAGGTTCAGTTGGCTGTGACAAGTCGCCTTCAGAGAGGTAATGTGAGGTTTTCAGGATAACCTACGGTCAAACAGAAGGCCTAGAAACATGACCGTATCACTTTCTGGGATACGTGAGCCACAGAGGTACAATGGATGATCAGAGATGACAGAACATCTAGTGAAAGTAATTTGGTGAGTTTCAGTACTGGAAAATTTAAACCCATGTGTGGAGGCCCAATTGGAAACACGGTTGACCACATGCTGGAGAGAAACTGCAATGAGGTGACAGTCAGCGCCTGCACCAGCTATAGCGAAGTCATCAACATAGAGTGATGACCAAATATTGGATGGAAGAAGAGAGGCTAAATCATTTATAGTAAGGAGAAAAAGTGCTGTGCTCAGAAGACATCCCTGGGGAACATCTTCAGCCTGGACAAAGTCTGGGGAGAGCATATTATTAACCCGAACACAGAAATGTCTATCAGTTAAGAAGTTCTTAACCCTTTGAGGGTTTCGGACGTACTAGTATGGCTTACGACCCAGGGTTTTTGACGTACTAGTACGCCTAAATTCTAGCGCCCTCAAATCTAGTGGGAGAAAGCTGGTAGGCCTTCATATGAAAGAATGGGTCTATGTGGTCAGTGTGCACAGTCTAAAAAAAATCCTGCAGCACACAGTGCATAATGAGAAAAAAAAAACTTTGACCGTTTTTTTGGAATAAAACAGCGATTTTGCACTGTATTTTCGTATGGTATTTATTGTTGTATTCTAGTTTTCTTGGTCTCATTTATAGAATTGAAGACATATTACAGAAATTGAGATGATTTTGACTGGTTTTACAATGAAAGGTACCTTGAAATTGAGCTCAAAGTAGCAGAAATGTTCGATTTTTACCAAATTTTAAAAGTAAACAAATCGTGCCAAGCGTCCAATACACGTCAACTGGTGAGTCTAATATTCTTTCACAAGTGTGCCAATAATATTTATACCATTTTTTACACTAATGCAGTAGTCTGCATAACAGTAAATCTTCTATTTTTTGTGAGAATAAAAATTCAAAGTGGAAAGCAAAAGAATGTAAGAGGGGCCTCGAGACGTGACTAATGGACAGAGGAAATGTCATTTTAGTGCCAGGAATGTCTTTCTTGTTTATTCTGGACCCTATTCGGAAATTGGCATCTTTTGAAATTTGTGTGAAATTGGCAAAATTGCTAAATTCTGACTACTGTACTGGATAGTTGAATTTCATAAATGGGTGGTTTCTTACACCCATTCGATAGAAAAAAATGGAGTTCTAGCGAAATATTCATGTTTTTTGTCGACTAGTACAGTGGAATTGGCCGAAAATGGGGCTCAAAGTGGGCAAAATCGCCGATGCGTAAACATCGCCGAGACCGCTAACTTCGCGAGAACATAATTCCGTAAGTTTTCCATCAATTTTCAAACTTTTGGTTTCCTTATGATCGGGGAAAAATTCTCTATCTTTTCATAAGATAAAATTATTTTTTTTTTTTAAATTTGGCCAACCCTGAGAACGAGTTTCGGAGAGGGCCTGTCGACCCTCAAAGGGTTAAGGAAGGATGATAGACTGCCTTGGAGGCCTAAGGAGTGGGCTTGGGCCAAAATATTATACCTCCAAGTTGTGTCATATGTCTTCTCAAGGTCAAAAAATATGGCAATAACTGAGTGGTTATTCGCAAAGGGGTCAATGGTAGAACAGCCCTTATGAAAGCCATATTGACTAGTGGAGAGACTGTTGCGTGTGTCTAAATACCACATTAAACGTCGATTTACCAGACGTTCCATCACCTTGCAAACTGCACTGGTAAGGGCAACGGGACAATAGTGGGAGGCATCACATCCCATAGTACCCGGTTTGCGGAAAGGGAGAACAACGGCAGATTTCCACAGCTGGGCAAGAACTTCTTGTGACCAAATAAGATTAAAGAGTCATAAGAAGACTGCAAGGGCTGACCGATGTAAATGTTGTAACATCCGAATATGAATGCCATCAGGCCCAGCTGCTGATGATCAGCAAGCTGAGGGTGTTGCTTCCAGTTCCAGGAATGTAAAAGGCACATTAAAGGTTCTTTGAGAGATGAAAAGTCTAAGGGCACTAACTCTCTGGCAGACTTTGAGGAAAGAAACGAGGGGCACAGATGGATCCCCTGAGAAATGTAGACCAGATGATTACCAATTTCAATGGAAAGGTCAAGAGGGTTTGCTATATCAACACCAGCAACCCACAGAACAGGAGCCGGGTCGAGAGAGTATTTACCACTCAGTTTCCGTACTTTTTCCAGACTGCACTCAGAGGAAGCAGAGGTGATGGTGGAAACACAATCCCGCTAGCAAATGCATTTAGTGCCACGGATGACACGGCAAGCAACTGCTCGCTTCTGCTTAAAATCAAGAAGTCTCTCTCTGGTTCTATTGTACCAGTACCTGCCCCACGCAGCGCGTTTCAAACGTACTGCCCGAGCACAAGCAGGAGACCACCAGGCCCGCACTTCTGAGAATGCCTGCCCAAGGTTTGGGGTATAGAATGAGAAGCTGCGGTTAAAACTGAGGTCAAGAAGAGGTGTAATAGCTCATCAATGGAGGACGAAGAAGAAACCTCACTAAAAGCAGTTAGCTGCAAGTAAACGTTCCAATTTGCTTGATCAAATTGCCAGCATGGGCTACGAAGAGGTGGTGAATATGAAGCAGTAAGAATGATTGGAAAATGATCGCTGTCATGTATACCTGCTTTGGCCACCACCCCCTGGAATCCGACAGGTAGCCTCCAGAGATACACCATCACCCGAAAGACACCCAAAGCCAGCCCCTGGGAGACAGGAGAAGAATCGGGACATTCCCAGGGGATCCATATTCCACGGCCAACTACACCACCACCAAGGACCTCAACAGAATGGGATGGACCCCGGTACCCTTCCACCTACCTAGGAACTAGATTGCCTGTGGGAAGAATCCCAATGGCCAAAAAGAGGAAGGGAATAGGGGAGGGATAGGGAGGAGGAGGAAAGGGAAAAAGGGAGGATGGGATAGGTTAGGGGGTTTTTGGGGTAATAAGGTTCGGTCTGAGGAAGGAGACCAAAAGGTCTAATTCCTCAAGCCAAGAGCCTCTTCACCATGCCAAGGAGTCCCCCTTGAAAAGGATCTATTTGCAACTTGATAAAGCTGAGCAGGCCCAAAATAGTCAATAAATAATCACATTATACTACATTTCTCATTTTCCATTCTTCATTGTTACAATCACACAAAAACAATCTCACCCATCACTATTACTCGCCATCCACTACCCTCCAATACTCCATTAAATCAAGGGTTTACTTATCCCATTATACAGTGGTACCCTGAGTTTTGGCCATAATTCGTTCCAGAAGGCTGTTCGAGTGCTGTTACCAAACGAATTTGTTCCCATAAGGAATAATGTACATTAGATTAGTCCGTTTCAAACCCTCAAAAATACACTTACAAAAGCACTTACAATAATACACTTACTTAACTGTTCGAGTTGGGAGCTGTATGAAACTCGGGGTACCACTGTACTTGCATCAACCATCAATGACAAAGTCACACAAAGCAAGAACTACACACTAGAAATACTGCTTTACCACTCGTGACTTGCACACTTAAGATTTATGCAGACTGGGTCATGGGGGTTTTGACCCCTGAAAGCCCCTCCAGGTATACCTGAAAGGTCTTGTGAGCAACACTTAAATTATTTTATATAAAGTATAAAAAGTCTCATAAAAAACCCTCTTTGTCAACACTGTCAGAAAATATGGTGTTCAGAATAAGTCACAGTAAAAAAAAGTCACAGAAATTAAGTCAAAATTTTTGCTGGGGGAAAAAAAATATAATTTTAAATACCACAGGTTAGGTTAGGTTGTAACTTTTTTCTAGTGACTTTTTTTTTCCTGGATCTGGAACTATATATTTTACTAGCCAGCTAGTGAATATAAGGCATGCAAGTCACAATTATGAAAATTATACACACACCTCTGAAACACAACAGTAATTTACACGTTACTCTGCAATAACAAGTTACAACTAGCGTATAAACATCTTTGCTAATGATTAATCTTACACACATTTTAACAGAATTCACAAAAACAATGCCAACCATGTTAGTATTTTTAAAACCCTTTGACTGTTTCAGGCCCCTTTCTGAAACTGTCATTCTATGTCGCTCAATTTTAAAAAAAAAAAAAAAATTATTTTTTTTTTCCTTATGAAAATAGAGAATCTTTCCTGGTGGTAATGACACCAAAAGTTCGAAATTTGGTCAAAAACTCACGGAATTATGCTCCCCGCAATTTAGCGGTCTCGGCGACATATGAGTATCGGCGATTTCGCCGATTTTGAGCCCTATTTTCAGCCAATTCCATTGTTCCAGTTGACCAAACTCTAGCTATTTCTTTAGAACTCCCGTTTTATCTATCAGCTGAGTACAAGAAACCTCCCATTTACTAATTTGGACTACCCAATATGGTGGTCAAAATTGGCAATTTGGCCAATTTCACGCAAACTAAAAAAAAAATGCCAATTTCAAAATAGGGTCCAGAATAAACAAGGTAGACATTCGTGGCACTAAAATAACATATGCCTGTTCATTAGTCACATCTCTAGGCCCCTCTATATTATTATTACTTTCTATTTTGATTTTTTATTCATACAAAAAAAAAACAAAATTTACTGTTATCAGACTACTACATTAATTGTAAAAATGGTATAAATAATATCTGTGCACTAGTGAAAGAATATTAGACTCCCCAGTTGACGTGTATTGGACGTGTGGTGTGATTTATTTACTCCTGAACATTGGTAAAAATTTGAACATTTCCGCTACTTTGAGCTCAGTTTCCAGGTCGTTTTCATCGTCAAAGTAATGAAAATCATCTCTATTTCTGTAATATGTTTTCCATTTTATCACCTAAGACCATGAAAATGTGAATACAACGATAAATACTATACGAAAATACACCTCAAAGCCGGCGTTTTATTCCAAAAAAAACGATCAGTTTTTTGTTTCTCATTACGCAATGTGTGCTGCAGGATTTTTTTTATGTGGTGCACACTGACCACACAGACCCATTCTCTCACATGTGGGCCTACCAGCTTTCTCCTGCTTGATTTGAAGCCGCTAGAATTATTGAGTATATATACGTCAGAAACATTGGCTCGTAAGACGTATTTATACATCGAAAACAGTCAAAGGGTTAACTATACTATTATCCAGCATATATAATCTCTTTCACAATGTACCTTAGTCAGCAATATTGATTCTTAGCTCCTACTTAAATATTATACATACTGTGTGTGTGTGTGTGTGTTTGTGTGTGCACACACATGCATACATGTGAACACGTGAGCCAAAGGGGAAGTTAAATGATAGACCTTTCACGTTGCAAACACAAAAGGCCTAGAGCTATGATTCAACTTTCCATGTGGTTGTTTTGTATCTTGTATCGCTTCTTCACAATTATTGTACACATGTGTATGTATATATGTACTCACCTAATTGTGGTTGCGGGAGTCAAGTCACAGCTCCTGGCCCCGATATGTATATATGTACATGTACATATGTGTATGTATACAGTAGGGCCCCGCTTTACGGCATTCCGCTAATACAGACATTTCAAATTATGACCAAAACTCTCTATATGGCTCCTCCCACCTGACTCTCTAATATGGTCACCACAGGCCACCCAGTGTGTTTACATCCCTGAGCTCCACGTCTCTCCATTATGTCTGGAAATTTTCTAGAATTTCAAGTGTTTTAAAGTAATTGTGTACTTTATATATGTACAGTAGACTGTCATTTAACACAGTAGTTATGTTCCTGAAAATGCTGTGTTAGGTAAAACCATGTTAGATGAACTGAAGAACTTGCAGGAAAAATAGGGTTATGTTCCTGGAAGCCCTAAAAAAGCCAAACTATTATTCAGACCTCCACATCTTACAAAAATAAGTGAATATGTAACTGTAGTTCACTGTCATGATGTATTATGTTGTTTTTACTGCTTAAGATTACAAATGCAAAAGAAATTGTGGGTGCTGGTGTTTGTGGATGATTGTGGAGAGTGGAGAGTTATGCTGTGGCCCTACTGGGCTGAGGTGGATGGTAGAGGTTCTGAAGTCAATGTTTGTACCAGAGTGTGCTATAAAATCTGTAATGGATTTGTTTTATTTTACCCTGCAGTACATTATACAACTGATGGTAAGGCATCAGCTGCTCTAGACACCATTTCAGGGTCCTCTTCAGTGAAAAAGTCTAACTTTAAGTCATTCAGTCAGTCAGTCATTCAGTCAAGTCAGTAAGTAAGTCACACAAACTCATGTTTACTTCATTTTATGTGCACAAAGCGAGCTTCATTATGGCCATAGGTTATCTCTTGTCTAATACCTTTGTTTTCTTCAATAATTCTAAAACTTAAATGCTTATACCTTTTCTTGCCACTCTCAGCAACACTGGTATGCCTACTGGGTGTCATGATTGCTTGGCAGATACAAGATATGGTAATTAAATGATCAAAACACAATTCACAAGCACAGCTAGCTTGTAGCAGAGAAGTGGAACTGGACACGTATGAACTATGAACAAAAAATGCTAGGATGGTGGTGTTGGGAGGTCTCCCCCGCTGATCCACAACAAGGCGGCCGCTTGAGGAAAAGGGAAATTTATTCCCCCTCCCGCAAACTGAACCATGTTAAATTAATTTTCCTAAGTGTTGTATAAAATTGTGCTGCAATTCTCACTCGTGCTATAACCGAGTCTTGCCAAATAAACTCCTGTTAAATGACGGTCTACTGTACTCTGATAATTATACTTATGTGTACCTGTACCTAATAAACTTACACACTGTGCTGGTGTTCAGGAACACATTAAAATCACTAGAGTGTCCCTCTAACGCTGATGCCATATTAATAATACTACTAATACGTAATAATAATAATCACTATTGGGCACATTAAATGCCTTATTTTACGTTAGTATAAACATTTTCATTAATTTATCTATGATACTGTCTTCAAAATTATGTAAAAAACACATTATAGAGCACATAAACATGATACATACACCCAAAACACAATAAATTTCACAAATATGAGGTGTGGTAGTCGAGGAGAGGAAAAGAATTGTTTTCTCTGGTCCATCACCAGAGAAAATGTGTATCAATGCATGTTTAATGCATTCAGCTTTGTTTACAAATTGTCAGCATGATTTCTCATCACTTCTCTGTTGTTTGTGATGCATATAAAGGTAGTTATTAGAAATGATAAAACTCAGTGAACAAGGTATGTCAATGATAATATCACTCTGGGGCACTTTAAATATCGTATATTACACTGGTAGCCGGGCGGCTACACCTACCGTGCTACCAACACCTGACTTGGTAAACCATACCCCCGGCCGGGATTGAACCCGCGGTCATAGAGTCTCAAAACTCCAGCCCGTCGCGTTAGCCACTAGACCAGCTAGCCACAATAAGATTCATCCAACTAGGTATATTTCTACACCATAGGAAAGTTAGCACAGGCACCTCTGTGACCACAAATGCAAGTTTTTACAGACGAATCTCCAGCTAGCGTGGCCGTGACGAACTCTAGCTCAAGTCCCTTCACTGCCGTCAACATGACTTAAGAAATCGTAATGACACGATTGCAAATAAACCATACCCCCGGCCGGGATTGAACCCGCGGTCATAGAGTCTCAAAACTCTTATTGTGGCTAGCTGGTCTAGTGGCTAACGCGACGGGCTGGAGTTTTGAGACTCCATGACCGCGGGTTCAATCCCGGCCGGGGGTATGGTTTATTTGCAATCGTGTCATTACGATTTCTTAAGTCATGTTGACGGCAGTGAAGGGACTTGAGCTAGAGTTCGTCACGGCCACGCTAGCTGGAGATTCGTCTGTAAAAACTTGCATTTGTGGTCACAGAGGTGCCTGTGCTAACTTTCCTATGGTGTAGAAATATACCTAGTTGGATGAATCTTATTGTGGCTAGCTGGTCTAGTGGCTAACGCGACGGGCTGGAGTTTTTGAGACTCTATGACCGCGGGTTCAATCCCGGCCGGGGGTATGGTTTATTTGCAATCGTGTCATTACGATTTCTTAAGTCATGTTGACGGCAGTGAAGGGACTTGAGCTAGAGTTCGTTACGGCCACGCTAGCTGGAGATTCGTCTGTAAAAACTTGCATTTGTGGTCACAGAGGTGCCTGTGCTAACTTTCCTATGGTGTAGAAATATACCTAGTTGGATGAATCTTATTGTGGCTAGCTGGTCTAGTGGCTAACGCGACGGGCTGGAGTTTTGAGACTCTATGACCGCGGGTTCAATCCCGGCCGGGGGTATGGTTTATTTGCAATCGTGTCATTACGATTTCTTAAGTCACCTGACTTGGTACAAATAAATACTACTTTCCTCTCACTCTACATTAAGATTATACATATTTTAAGGTAAGTAATGAGTGTAATGTATGTGCATTTTATCGCTCTGGGCTGCTTTAAATATCATACCTATCTACACCTACTGGCTACCTACAAATAAATACTATTCACCTCTCACCCTACAGTAAGACTTCAAATATTTTAAGGTCAGTAACGAATGTACTGTGTGTGTATTTTACATTTGTTTTTTAATGCCTAGTTCGACTGTCAGCTTAATATGTGTTAATGTAAACTTGTTATCTGGCATTTGTATGCATTTATAAGTGGAAAAAATGGCATTCTGCTTTCCAGCAATGTCTGCTTCCAGTAGTGGCCTGGAACCTAGCCTGCCATAAAAGTGGAGCCCTACTGTATATATGTATAAACACCTTTTGTGTGTACACAACCAAATATTGCTACTTTTCTAAGTAGTACAATATTTTATTACTTAGTCAGGTCTAAGAATATGATCTTTATTCTTAACATTTACAACTTTAATCTTGACTAAATGCTGTCTCTAATATATCATAGTTGTTGCAAAAATCAGATCTGCTATGCTCATCCCAATTTTGAAATTATTAATATATTTTGAAAATATATTTGTTCTTTTATATGTAAATTATTGCATTCCCTTTATTTGAGGGCTTGAAAATATTTGATCATATTACACAATACACAAATAACCCGCACATAAAAGACAGAAGCTTACGACGACGTTTCGGTCCGACTTGGACCATTGACAAAGTCACACTAACAGAGGTGGAGCAGGACGGCTATATATAGGCAGGAAGAGGTAGAGGTAGTAGTAGTGGTAGTAGTAGTAGTAGTAGTAGTAGTAGTAGTGCAAGAATTGTATATAATACCGACAGGATGAAATGACACATGCACAACACCCGGGCATCCCCACCGTAGACGTTTCGCCATCCAGCCAGCCACTGGATGGCGAAACGTCCACAACAAAGACAACCAGACGCCGCACATGTGTCTAATTTCATCAGTAGATGTAGTAGAAGAAGAAGAGGTAGTAGTAGTGGTAATACTTTGATCATATTTAACAAAGTACCTGATTTGTATCATGAGCAGACGTTGAGCATCAAGTTAGAAGACCATGCCAAAGATTTGTGGTTAATGTTGAGTGGAAACAGAAAAACCCTCTTCAAAAACATGAACCATTATTATCATAACCAAAACTAAGAACTACACCCATAAGTGTCACACATCACTGCAAAAACGTGAAACAAAGAGTTGCATTTTCCAGTCTCCGAGGTCCTCTTCAATGGTGAAGAGGGCCTGCAGACGAGGATATGCAGCCAATTTTCATTCTTCAAGTTTCGTGAACAGGTTCTCAGTTTCCACTGAAAATGCAATAATGCTCAGGTGTTGAGGTCCCCAGGAAGATGACAGTTATTTAGCTCTGGGGTCCCCAGGAAGACAACAGTAGTTTAGCTCTGGGGTCCCCAGGAAGACAACAGTAGTTTAGCTCTGGGGTCCCCAGGAAGACAACAGTTGTTCAGCTCTGGGGTGCCCAGGAAGATAACAGTTGTTTAGTTCTGGGGGTCCCCAGGAAGATGGAACATTTATTCAATTCTGGGGTCCTCGAGATGACAGAACAATTGTTTAGTTCTGGGAGTCCCCAGAAAAACAACAGTTGTTCAGCTCTGGAATCCCCAGGAAGACAACAACTCTTCAGTTCTGGGGATCCCCAGGAAGCTGGAATAGTACTCAGCTCTGGGGGTTGCCAGCAATAATACTCAGCTCTAAGAGTCTTGAGGGAAATGTGTAAGAATCAAACACTTTGCACATAACCTACCTTAACTAACATAATTACAGATCTAGTTACAGATAATAACTTGTCACACAATTGACATTTCATGCTTCCTGGCTATGTCTTGATATTTTGTGCATCTTCCGTCGCTGCAAGTGGTTGTAGAGCTTCCTGATCTGCCCGACTGTGTCATATATCATGGGACAATTCTTCTGGGAGGTTGCATCAACTATTGAGCCATCCCCAGGGTGCAATGGTTCCCCCCTTGCTGAACTCGTTCCACAAGTGAATGCCAACAGTGTTATGGGGCCAACTCCAGGAGCTGCTACCTCCGGATACAAAGAGTTACCCCCAGCGCTGCCAGTGGAGTGGGTAAAAGGTGGACGGCTCTGCGGAAATATAAAAATAATATAAAAATCTTTTCTAGATAATAAAGTGTCTCTTGTACACCTATGATAGAGTTCCTAAAGATGTTTGTTATATTAATCTTCCTATCTATGGACATCTGAGTTATAGTATTAGAAAAAAGTATCTGAAATTGTTACAAATAAGTTATTGCACAAATTGAAAATACTCTCATATTCGTTAATCTCTGAACTGTAGGAGGCCACTTTAAATATAAGATCCAGTTGTGCCACCTTTGTACTCAATGTTTACTTGTTCTAGCTGTGATGCTAGATACACTGGAAGCACATTTAGAAACTTCCAAACTAGAATATATAAACATAAAAGACTGTTAGACAGGGCCCTCTTCAGATTAGCTAAACCCTTTTTCAAGTATAACATTATATTTGGAGACCAAAAATCAGCCATTAAGTACAATGCCTTTTGATTGTAGCTGAGCTCAAGATAAATTTGATATGAAAATTTTAAGAGTTTGTATGCTATGGAGTTCAAACCTTAACTGAATAACTATACATCGGTAGTCAAATTTTTTACAATAAAATAGTTCTCTCCTTCCTATGTAGTTTTTCCATTTTTTTTTTAACATATTGGCCGATTCCCACCATTTTTGTTAATCTCAATTAATTCACCGTGCATGTTGGTCAGTTCCTACTCATCCTTGCTTAAGGCAGCAAAATCTTTTAGTACTTTCCCTAGTTTTCTAGTTATATTTTAACAAATTTTAAACTTTTACAACTGTTGACAATGTTGCCCTGTCACTGTGTACAAGAGTTGTGATTCTCTTTCACAGACTGATTCACCAAAATGTAATAATAAAGGTATTTGAAAAAAAAGCTTTTCCTGTCATCCTCACGTACAATGTTGGAAAAACTATACATGATCTCAGCAATCCTGCTAACTGTCTTAGTGACATCACAATCTGCTCCTGGAAGAATGGCAGCTAAGTACTGTTAGACTATATTGGCAGATCTACTCTTTAAATAACACTTACTTTCATTTTTGTTGGGCAAAAGGGTGGTGCTAGTGATCATGAAAAAATGTAAGCTCAGCAAATATGGGGAGTTGGGCCTTTAGTACTACTTTGTCCCAATAAGATCAGAGACCTTTGGACGCTGGAGCATATATGCAACAGGATTCATCAGCGAACTGTATGCCAGGCACATGGACACTGCTGGAGACCCAAGGGTGGCCACATTTCTGTTCCTGCCTTTCAGTGTGGGGATCCTGAGGGACAATATTTGATGCATTCTCCCTGTTTATCCAGCTTCTGAGGACCTGGAAAAGATTCATAAATTTGTTTCAAAATGTTGTCGTAATGTATGCATATTTGTGGCAGTAAAAAAAACTTTTGCTAAAACAAAAAATATGAGATAGTAGGAGAGGCAATGTATTTACACAATTTCTAGGAAAATGTTTTCTGAGACTATGGGTCCTCATAATGTTCACCCCATATCAATACACAGTATATCCCCCCCAACACCCGCACCCACTTGCATACTCCCCCTCCACACTCACTTTTTTACCCAAAACCCTACCCTTAGGAAAGGAGCCTTAGGATATTTCAGTCCATCTTGAACCACTGTCAAGTCACAAATGAATGAGGAAAACACAGAGACGTGCAACAGCAGTTGCAGCAGCAGACACTGCCACATTGTAAAACCCTCTTATATGCTAATTTTGCTCTCTTACCACCCTCTTGCATTTATCATTCCACCAATCATTCTTCTTCCCTGCCACACCCACCCTCCTACCCACTAACCTCGGTTGCACATGCTAACATAGCATTCTTAAATCTACCTCACATTTCTTCAATCTCTTTTTAATCTGTACTACTCTGTACTGTATATAATGCACACTAACTTTTCCCTTATTCAGTTTATCCACTTTTGCTCCTCTCTTATGCACTTATAGAATTCTTTTACCTTATTTGCCTCTTCCTCTTACTGTAGATACCACTAAATAAGCACCTAACATAGCAGTTGCTCTACTATAAGCATGCACATCTAGAGGTCAACTAATCAACATTTTATCCATGAATACATAGTCTTAACAAACAAGTTAAGGAAGCCTAGAGAACAAATGGATTTGTCAGTTAAAAATAGGAGAGGAGAGTTATTAAATGGAGAGTTAGAGGTATTGGGAAGATGGAGGGAATATTTTGAGGAATTGTTAAATGTTGATGAAGATAGGGAAGCTGTGATTTCGTGTATAGGGCAAGGAGGAATAACATCTTGTAGGAGTGAGGAAGAGCCAGTTGTGAGTGTGGGGGAAGTTCGTGAGGCAGTAGGTAAAATGAAAGGGGGTAAGGCAGCTGGGATTGATGGGATAAAGATAGAAATGTTAAAAGCAGGTGGGGATATAGTTTTGGAGTGGTTGGTGCAATTATTTAATAAATGTATGGAAGAGGGTAAGGTACCTAGGGATTGGCAGGGAGCATGCATAGTTCCTTTGTATAAAAGGCAAAGGGGACAAAAGAGAGTGCAAAAATTATAGGGGGATAAGTCTGTTGAGTATACCTGGTAAAGTATATGGTAGAGTTATTATTGAAAGAATTAAGAGTAAGACGGAAAATAGGATAGCAGATGAACAAGGAGGCTTTAGGAAAGGTAGGGGGTGTGTGGACCAGTGTTTACAGTGAAACATATAAGTGAACAGTATTTAGATAAGGCTAAAGAGGTCTTTGTGGCATTTATGGATTTGGAAAAGGCATATGACAGGGTGGATAGGGGGGCAATGTGGCAGATGTTGCAGGTGTATGGTGTAGGAGGTAGGTTACTGAAAGCAGTGAAGAGTTTTTTACAAGGATAGTGAGGCTCAAGTTAGAGTATGTAGGAAAGAGGGAAATTATTTCCCAGTAAAAGTAGCCTTAGACAAGGATGTGTGATGTCACCGTGGTTGTTTAATATATTTATAGATGGGGTTGTAAGAGAAGTAAATGCGAGGGTCTTGGCAAGAGGCGTGGAGTTAAAAGATAAAGAATCACACATAAAGTGGGAGTTGTCACAGTTGCTCTTTGCTGATGACACTGTGCTCTTGGGAGATTCTGAAGAGAAGTTGCAGAGATTGGTGGATGAATTTGGTAGGGTATGCAAAGAAGAAAAATTAAAAGTGAATACAGGAAAGAGTAAGGTTATGAGGATAACAAAAAGATTAGGTGATGAAAGACTGGATATCAGATTGGAGGGAGAGAGTATGGAGGAGGTGAATGTATTCAGATATTTGGGAGTGGACGTGTCAGCGGATGGTCTATGAAAGATGAGGTGAATCATAGAATTGATGAGGGGAAAAGGGTGAGTGGTGCACTTAGGAGTCTGTGGAGACAAAGAACTTTGTCCTTGGAGGCAAAGAGGGGAATGCATGAGAGTATAGTTTTACCAACGCTCTTATATGGGTGTGAAGCATGGGTGATGAATGTTGCAGCGAGGAGAAGGCTGGAGGCAGTGGAGATGTCATGTCTGAGAGCAATGTGTGGGTGAATATAATGCAGAGAATTCGTAGTTTGGAAGTTAGGAGGAGGTGTGGGATTACCAAAACTGTTGTCCAGAGGGCTGAGGAAGGGTTGTTGAGGTGGTTCAGACATGTAGAGAGAATGGAGCGAAACAGAGTGACTTCAAGAGTGTATCAGTCTGTAGTGGAAGGAAGGCGGGGTAGGGGTCGGCCTAGGAAAGGTTGGAGGGAGGAGGTAAAGGAGGTTTTGTGTGCGAGGGGCTTGGACTTCCAGCAGGCATGCGTGAGCGTGTTTGATAGGAGTGAATGGAGACAAATGGTTTTTTAATACTTGACGTGCTGTTGGAGTGTGAGCAAAGTAACATTTATGAAGGGGTTCAGGGAAACCGGCAGGCAGGACTTGAGTCCTGGAGATGGGAAGTACAGTGCCTGCACTCTGGAGGAGGGGTGTTAATGTTGCAGTTTAAAAACTGTAGTGTAAAGCACCCTTCTGGCAAGACAGTGATGGAGTGAATGATGGTGAAAGTTTTTCTTTTTCGGGCCACCCTGCCTTGGTGGGAATCGGCCAGTGTGATAATAAAAATAAAAAAATAACAAACTGTTGTCATTTAGCACTATGTCATGCTTCATGTACTTAATTATTCTTATTCTTTAAATACATATTTCTTATTACTAAATGTTTTCTATGAATAATTCGACTAGAAGCTCCTTCATCATTTATGCTTGACAATCTAAACTTATTTACTTTGCCATCTACAACAGTCTCCCATTTTATAGCATTTAAGTCACCACAACATTTATTCTTTCATCTGCACCACAACATTTATTCTTTCATCTGCACCACAACATTTATTCTTTCATCTGCACCACAACATTTATTCTTTCATCTGCACCACAACATTTATTCTTTCATCTGCACCAAACAACATTATTCTTTCATCTGCATCAAAACTCCCTAAACATTCTGCAAGCAGTTTTATTTTCTAGTTTAAGTCTTCCCAAAATGTTATTTATACTATGGCCTTTCCATAAAATTATAAAATTTTTGTATATTTTTAATTATTATTATTATTATCAAGCATAGCCATTGTACAGATGTGACTAGTAGTCTACATGGAAGTAACTCTTACAATGCAGGTCAAAATTTTTCACTGAGTGACTAAACCCCAACCAATCAACAATCTTAATAATAATTTACCCACTACAGGGAGGTGGACTGATGGCAATGAGGGACTCATTCTCCCCTTCCCTGAATCAAACCTGAATGCTTCCTATTCCTCAGGCACTATATGACCCTTATGTGTTCAACGCTTCCCCCTGATTAAAACAAATACCATATGGGCGCAATGTTACCACAACCAGCCAACAGATAAGACAAGTACTGTACTCTTCCTTCTCCTGTAAAAAACTATCATATGCAAGAAACAGACAAGAGTGCTACCCTGGCTGGCAGCACACACAAAGTACAGATGATAACCAGCTGCTCTTTGGTAACTAATACCTGGTTCAACAGAGATCAACTTTCATGTTATCTTTTTTTTTTTTTTTAACCAAGGATCTTACTTAGAATGCTGAGGGAAGATTGTTACAGGTTAATGTTTAGAGACATACATATTTGCATTATGTACAGCTCTATTAGCAAGTGCAGTACAGTGCACTTTGCTGCTATGTGTTGGGATAGTATACGCACAAAGACCACTCATGAAAAAGTCTTTGAACAGTGAAAACTGACTTATGTATGAAAATGAAATAGAGGCATGCCCTGCTTTACAGCGCTTTGCTCTGTGGCACATCACTAATGTAACGATTTTTAATTATACCCATTCTTCATTTATTCAGACTTCCTACAATAAATATGTTCACCACTGACTAACTATAAGCTAAGGATGAGAATATTTTAAGGTAAGTAATGTGTGTCCTCGGTAGTAGGTTAGTAAACAGCAACCACCTAGGGAGGTACTACCATCCCACCAAGTGTGAAAGATACCCAGATGTTGCACATGTCTAATTCTTCATTTTGTTGGTATTGTATGCTATTCATGTACAAGAAAATGACTGTCTACCTTTCAAAGACAGAATACATATTCATTATCAGCGAGCGGGTGTTTTGTCTTCATCCGTGTTTACATCAGCATCCACATCACAGTTGCTGTCCTCACAATCCTGTGTACTCAGTGTTGCTGTATCCTCCAAAGCATGACACAGCCTAGTGTCCTCAGCTTCCCAAATACCTGAGGAAGGAAGATCATGATGAACATACAATACTTGTACACAATAAGTAAGATCGCCAGCCACTTGGATACCCATCAATTGCACAATCCAGGGCAGCATGGGCTTAGAGCAAATCAATCCTCCTTCACAACTACTAGATCACTATAACATGGTCTTGGATGGTCACTCCTGCCTCACAACTACTGGATCACTATGACATGGTCTTGGATGGTCACTCCTGCCTCACAACTACTGGATCACTATGACATGGTCTTGGATGGTCACTCCTGCCTCACAGCTACTGGGTCACAATGATATGGTCTTGGATGCACTGGATGACAAACAAAATGCAGATGTAGTATACAATGACTTTGCGAAACCTTCAACATGTGCGATCATGGTGTAACAGCACACAAAATGCGTGATAAAGGAATAACAGGAAAAGTGGGTAGATGGATCTATAACTTTCTAACAGAACACAAAGAGTAATAGTATACAGATTAAAGTCTGAGGTGGCTACAGTGAAAAGCTCTGTGCCACAAGATACAGTACTTGCTCCCATCCTTTTCTTCATCCTCATATCCGACATAGACAGAGATACAAGTCACAGCATCATGCTGACAATACCAGAATTTGCATGACAGTGTCATCCATTGAGGCCACTGCAAATCTCCAAGCAAACATTAATCGTCTTTAAATGAGCCTCAGAAAACAATATGAAGTTCAATGAAGACAAATTTCAATTACTCTGCTATGAAAAACTCAAAGAAATAAAAACTGAATCAGAGTATAAAACAAATTACAACTACACAATAGAGTAAAAAACTGATGTCAAGGACCTAGGAGAGATAATGTCAGAGAATTTCACTTTCAAAGATCACAACAATGCGTCTACCACATGTGCTAGGAAAATGATAGAGTGGATAATGAGAGCCTTCAAAACTAGGGATGCCAAGCCAATGATGATTCTCTTGAAATTGCTTGCAGGCCTGGAAAAATTTTCAATGCACTTATAAGTACAATAAAGCATTTAAATTACCGGGAACAGTTGAAGTCCCTTGACCCGTATTCCTTGGAATGCAGGCAAGAAAGATACATGATAATATACATTTGAAAAATCCTAGGGGGACTAGTCCGAAATCTGCACACGGAAATCATTCCCTATGAAAGCAAGAGACTTGGCAGATGGTGCAACATCCCCCTCCAATAAAATGCAGGGGTGTCATGAATATGCTGAGAGAACACAATAAGTGTCAGGGGCCCAAGATTGTTCAACAACCTCCCAGTATACAAAAGGGAAGGATTACAAATAGACCCCTGCCTGTCGTCAAGAGGAAACTGGACAGGCATCTAAACTCAGTACCTGACCGGCCGGGCTGTAGTTTGTACATTGGTTTGCATGTGTCCAGCAGTAACAGCCTGGTTGATCAGGCCCTGATCCACCATGAGGCCTGGTCACAGACCAGGCTGCTGGGGGGCTGAACACCAGAACACCCTCCAGGTATACTCCAGGTAATATGAACTCTATAATTAAAAATCACCTCATCTCCCTACCTTAACTACATCAAACAAAACCAATTCATCCATGCTTAACAAAACCAACTTACCTAACTAATTCCTGAAAACATAGAGCCTGTTAGAAGCTCCTTAATCATTTTAAGGTATTATAGATACAAATTTAAATTTGTACTATTTTTACTACCTCTCTTTTTGTAATTTTTTTTTTTCAACAAACCAGCAGCATCCCATCGAGGCAGGGTGACCTAAAGTGAAAAATGAAAGTTTTTCTTTTTAAATTTAGTAATTTATACAGGAAAAGGGGCTACTAGCCCCCTTGCTCCCTTTGTATATTTATAACTGTACCACTCGATACCTATGTCTACTCAAGAGTAGACGTAGGTAAGCATTAGTATTAGTCTGCCTGAAATGCACATACATGTTAGTGGCTTTCTTTTGTGCTTAACAATATTATATTACATGTAGACTACGTTTTGTATACTGCACAAGGAAAGGAAATGTTTGTTTGTAATGCCTACCTATCTGTGCAGTATTTTCATAGAAAAGTGCTAAACCTGTAGGGGATCACAAAGTGTAGTGGGAATGGGAGGAAATCAATAACCAAACCTATGAGAAGTGCTAAGATCTCTGCCGTGTCAACAGATCACGTCAGGACCAATATATTAGCACTGCTGAACTAGGCTTCAAGTGGTGAACTTCATCACACTATGCAAAGTCATTATTTTTTTACTAACTTATCTATATTTAATTTATGCACTCTACATGGTAAAAGTGTAAAAAGCAAAACACTGTCTAGAATAAGACAGCTGAGATGACCCTGTACACAGCATAAACAAGTATAAAAACTGTAATATTGTTAATTTTACATCATTTTCAGTTAATTTAAATGCATTAAACTTTGCAGATATTTTCAGTACAATAATCATAAACCCAGAATATATGTAGCATACAGTAATAGTTCTGGACTATCACAAGTTGTCAATAAAAGAATACTCACATTTGCAAGCCCACTACAGTTGTTGTCGGTGCTCCTTGACTTGCGATGGTTCGACTTGACGATGGTGTAAAAACAATTACTACATTGGGGATGAAATTTAAGATGATTACTCAGCATGAAGGCGGCAAGTTTGAAACTTGTATTATTTATTTACTTTTCAATACTTGTATTTAGTTACATTAATTGTTTGTTTATTGACTTATTCAGTGACAGTAGTTAATTATTTAGCATATCATATTCATGTTCGACTTGCGATATTTTTTATTTACTATGGGTTCTTCAGAACATAACCCCATTATAAGTCAAGGAGAACTTGTACTGCAGCATTATTTTTTGTCTCTTCAGCTCATTCTCTAGTTGATCCATTATAAACATGTTCTTGATTAAGATGTAAACTCATCCAGTGTGTCAGCGAGCTCCTGCACGAAAATCGCCTCTGACACATCCCAGAGGTCCACACACACACACACACACACACACACTACATCTGTCAAAAAATGTAACAAGATTAATACCTGTATTGTACAACAAAATACTTGTCATTGGTGTCTACCAGTGCCAAGTATTTTGTTGATGAGCCTGGCCCAAGGCTGGCTCTGGGATTAGAAAAACTCTCGGAACTCATCATAGGTCATTTGCAACTGCAATATTGCCATTGTAGTCTTAAGTTAGGCTTAAGTTCACCGGAAATGCTCTGCACAATTATGGGCATTCTACATGCACAACCAAATATTACTCATCCCTCTATAAATATTGTATCATGCTGAGATAAAATTATCATCATCATTACTGTCCCTCAAATAACTGCCCAAACCTTTTTTCCTAGTCATATATAAGCTTCAAAAATTAAAATCCAAAGCACAATTTATGTTGAAATTTTAGTAGCAAAAATCCAAAACAAAGATGAGAAAATTCTGTTATTCAATGCTTACAATCCACCATTAAATAAGACTTGAGAGAAAGAAGTTGATAAGACAATATGGGAAATACTGGTGAAAAGTGACCATAATGATAAGAATGTTATTGTTTTCAGATATTTTATCTATAAAGAAATATAGTGGACAACCTTTGAGGTTGGATCTGCAAATAAATGGTCAACAAACAAAATTTTGTAATGGAATGACAGACTTTTTTTTGTGTGTACACATAAATAACCTGCACATAGTAGACTGAAACTCAAGATGTTTCGGTCTAAGACTGACCAAAACATCGCTGTATATTTCATTCTCCCATATGTGGGTTATTTGTGTACTGTTTCAATCACGGTATTGTGCCTTTAAACAGCACATGACTGAAGCGACACAAATGAGAGATGGCAACACATCATCAATGGTTGACCTGGTATTTACTGGAAGAGTGGAAGGAATTTTCAACACAACCTATGGACCATTTTGTTTAGATCAAATATCAGGGCAATGTCCAAATACTGAGTCAAATTTTTCTCAAAAAAGTTGGGTGAATATCAAGTTGTATGAATATAGTGATGTACAAATATTGAGGTTACAATGTACTCAGAATATTTTTATGGGTGTCATGAAACAAACAAAAAAAAATTTATCATCAGTACTTACCGAGATACAGAGGCGTGAAGTTGACAGGGTGACTGGCTGACGGTAACATCGGTGCCTGCTGCTCACTCCGTAATTTTTTTTTTACTTGTATTCTATTTTTTCTTTGCTTTTTTAATATTTTATTTTTTCAAGTAACTTTTGTGGCCTGTAAGACCAATATAATGCATAATGTATACACATCCACTCTTTGTATGCAACACAATAACCGCACAAATAGTCAAAATTATATTGTTTACAAAACTTGTTTACACATAAAAACAAGTAAGAATGTTGCTTATTACTAATGTTCTACAATATATATATATATTTCTATATATACACATATAGAATCACTGGACAGGTTCCTAGAACTGCTGGAGTTTGTGAAACTCTTTGAAACATGGTGTAATGCACAGTGGTGTTTTACACTCCTCGCACATAAAACGAGTGTCTCGGCGTTTTTGTGGGCGTTTTGTTGTATGTGCACAGACAAAACACCTCTTCTGTGCAGATTTCTTCTTAGTAGAAGGCAATTGTATTAGGAAATGATCACCAGGCCTCAAACGAGAGGGCATTTGGTGATCAGTTCGTAGGCGGTTTTGTATTGCAGGTGTTGTTACCTGGTACTTAAATATTATTTGTCTGATGACAGACAAACAAAATTCACTATATGGTGGTTTGTTTCTGGTCCTCATTTTATACATATTATAAGCATTGAGCATGGAAATGTCCACAAGATGGAAAAAGAGTTTCATGTACCACTTATAACTCTTGCGAACACAATCAGCAAACCCAATCTGCACGTCACATTTGTTCACTGAATACATATTGAGGGTGTAATCCATCAGAGCAGCAGGTTTTAAAATGGGTTTATTGGTCTCTCTATTCTGCCTGCCACTATCTGTCATTTTGTTTTGGTGGACTGATGTCAACAATGTGACATCTCGTTTGTCATGCCACCGAAATGCCATGATGTCATTGGCAGCAAACACCTGCACCTCACCTCTATGAGTGTCTGTACTGAACTTGGGCATATGCTTACGATTTCCATGCACTGTCCCGCACATGTCTGTCATGTTCACTCGCAAGAAATCACTGAGCAAGGGGCTTGTGTACCAGTTATCAGTATATAATGTATGCCCCTTACCAAGATATGGTTCCATCATTGTTCTCGCCACATCACCTGAGATACCCAATAACCTCCTGGTATCTTTCAACGTATTACTTCCAGTGTACACAATTATATCCAATACAAGACCACTGTAGCAATCACAGAGTACAAACAACTTGATACCAAAGCGTTTCTTCTTGCTTGGTATATAATGCTTGAACGACTGTCTACCTTTGAAGAGAATCAAAGACTCACCAATAACAAGCTTCCTGAAGGGATAAAAATACATACTGAACTTTTGTTTCAGATACATAAACACATTCCTAATCTTGTATAACCTGTCATTTCTGTCAGGCCTTGTCTTGTCTGAGAAGTGTAGCATACGTAACAGTAGGACAAATCGGTTCACTGACATAATATCACTGAAAGCTGGGGTTGAAATTAGGCGGTCTGTCGACCAGTATGACTTGACATTATGCTTATATACATGTGGCATAACCATTATTGTGGCAAGGAGCAGATACATCTCAGCCACAGTTGTCTCCTTCCACTGGTGTAGTCGTGATTTTGGTGAAACAAGTGTGTTTGCCATGGTGTAATCGAAGTATGTGTTACTTTCCCTGACTATAATTTCCATCAGGGGTTCATCAAAGAATAATTCAAAACATTCCAGTTCAGTGGCATTGTTTCCAAGTGTACAAGATGGCCGTATTCCACTCTGAGTTTCATCAAAGTGGTGGGGATTGGGAACAAAATTGGCACCTTGCTGCCAATCCCAGATGCGGTCTGCTGGTGGGTACTGGATGTTAACAGGTGGTGGTGGTTGTGCAGTTTGCTGTGGTGTGTGGGTAGTTGAGACTGGTCTTGGTTGTGCTGTTGGTGCTGCATGATGCATGATACTACCACTACCACCTACTGCCCCATGTATATTATCCATCCCAACTGTAACTATATCATCGTCACTTTCACTATCTGTTCCTGGTGTAGGGCCACAGGATGTGCTCTTTTCCCTTGGAACAGCATATGGTACACCACTAGAACGCATGCGGCGTATAAATCGGCGCTTCACTGGTGAATATTCCTCTTCAGTGTCGCTACTGGAATGGTAATCAAAAGCAAGGAAATCACTGTCAACATCACTATCATCACCACCACTGCTCACATCTGAGTCCTGGCCACGGGAAAACATGAGCTTACACTTGTGCTGTGGTACACCTGAATGAGAATGAGATGGACCAGCCCCAGAGGTGGAAGGCTGAGGGTCGTCTGGGTTTTCAGCACTATTTCTGGTATTCTGAGTGTTGCTTTCAGTCACAAACTCAAAACCATAAAATTCATCTTCACTTCCACCTTCATCCGTGTTAGAACTATCACTTGGGAAGAGAAGATTCCCAATTTGCCGGGAGTAAGGTTTTTCTGACTGTGATGCATGGTGAACAAAGGTACTGAAATGGCGTTCCCACAATGTACTGTGGCCACCTTGATTTTCTGTATACTGCACGCACTGACCATGCAAATCCATTCTCTCATATGTAGGCCTACCAGCTTTCTCCCACCAAATCTGAAGCTGCTAGAATTTTGGTGTAGTACTATGGGACCGACTCTGGCTTCAAAGCTGTAGTTCTACGGGACCTACACTGAAAGGGTAAAATATAATTTAGATTAGAAAACATAACATTAAAATGAATGACTCGATTATAGTAATAAAACTACAATGTTTGAAGGCAGCATTTACAAGAAACTAAATGGTTGAAGATGTAACAGGGGACACATACAAATACAGCCTCTCCTCACTTAGCGACGTACTCATTTATTGACAACTTGGACTTATGACGGGCTCTCTGCCACGTAAATAACGTATATTAGAGCTGATTTCCTCTATTCTGTTTATTACAATATACAGTAGACTACTGTATAAACATTTATAAATATACCAGAACTGTTATAAATGGTGCAAAGGTGACATTAAAACAATATCATAGATGGTTGACACTATTATAGTATGCTCCTCACTAAGCAACGAATTCATTTACCGACATGGTCTTAGGAACGGAGCTCCGTCGTTAAGTGAGGAGAGGTTGTAATGCATACAAAAAAGTGCTGTTGGAGAGTAAGCAAAGTAACATGTATGAAAGGATTCAGGGAAACTGAATCCCTTCATGCTGAATCTCAGCATCCTCCAACTTCGTTATCTGCCAAAGTTTTTAATCTGCTACATGAAAAATAATCTTTTGTAAACACAACTTGGGCTAGTAACCCCTTCTCCTGTAGACATTTACTAAAAAAGAGAAGAAGAAAAACTTTATAAAACTGGGATGCTTAACCCTTTGAGGGTCGACAGGCCCTCTCCGAAACTCGTTCTCAGGGTCGGCCAAATTTAAAAAAAAAAAAAAATTATTTTCTCTTATGAAAAGATAGAGAATCTTTTCCCGATCATAACGACACCAAAAGTTTGAAATTTGATAGAAAACTTACGGAATTATGCTCTCGCAAAGTTAGCGGTCTCGGCGATGTTTACGGATCGGCGATTTTGCCCACTTTGAGCCCCATTTTCGGCCAATTTCACTGTACTAGTCGACAAAAAACATGAATATTTCGCTAGAACTCCACTTTTTCTATCGAATGGGTGCAAGAAACCACCCATTTATAAATTCAACTATCCAGTACAGTGGTCAGAATTTTGCAATTTTGCCAATTTCACACAAATTTCAAAAGATGCCAATTTCGGAATAGGGTCCAGAATAAACAAGAAAGACATTCCTGGCACTAAAATGACATTTCCTCTAGTCATTAGTCACATCTCAAGGCCCCTCTTATATTCTTTTGCTTTCCACTTTGAATTTTTGTTCTCACAAAAAATATAAGATTTACTGTTATGCAGACTACTGCATTAGTGTAAAAAATGGTATAAATATTATTGGTGCACTTGTGAAAGAATATTAGACTCACCAGTTGACGTGTATTGCACGCTTGGCACGATTTGTTTACTTTTGAAGTTTGGTAAAAATCGAACATTTCTGCTACTTTGAGCTCAATTTCAAGGCACCTTTCATTGTAAAACCAGTCAAAATCATCTCAATTTCAGTAATATGTCTTCGATTCTATAAAATGAGACCAAGAAAACTAGAATACAACAATAAATACTATACGAAAATACACTGCAAAGTCGCTGATTTATTAAAAAAAAATGGAAAAAGTTTTTTTTTTCTCATTATGCACCGTGTGCTGCAGGATTTTTTTTAGACTGTGCACACTGACCACATAGACCCATTCTTTCATATGAAGGCCTACCAGCTTTCTCCCACTAGATTTGAGGTCGCTAGAATTTATGAGTACTAGTACGTCAAAAACCCCTACGCGTAAGACGTACTAGTACGACGAAAACCCTCAAAGGGTTAAATGTGCGTGGATGTAGTGCGGATGACAAGAAACAGATGATTGCTGATGTTATGAATGAAAAGAAGTTGGATGTCCTGGCCCTAAGTGAAACAAAGCTGAAGGGGGTAGGGGAGTTTCAGTGGGGGGAAATAAATGGGATTAAATCTGGAGTATCTGAGAGAGGTAGAGCAAAGGAAGGGGTAGCAGTAATGTTAAATGATCAGTTATGGAAGGAGAAAAGAGAATATGAATGTGTAAATTCAAGAATTATGTGGATTAAAGTAAAGGTTGGATGCGAGAAGTGGGTCATAATAAGCGTGTATGCACCTGGAGAAGAGAGGAATGCAGAGGAGAGAGAGAGAGATTTTGGGAGATGTTAAGTGAATGTATAGGAGCCATTGAACCAAGTGAGAGAGTGTGGTAGGGGACCTGAATGCTAAAGTAGGAGAAACTTTTAGAGAGGGTGTGGTAGGTAAGTTTGGGGTGCCAGGTGTAAATGATAATGGGAGCCCTTTGATTGAACTTTGTATAGAAAGGGGTTTAGTTATAGGTAATACATATTTTAAGAAAAAGAGGATAAATAAGTATACAAGATATGATGTAGGGCGAAATGACAGTAGTTTGTTGGATTATGTATTGGTAGATAAAAGACTGTTGAGTAGACTTCAGGATGTACATGTTTATAGAGGGGCCACAGATATATCAGATCACTTTCTAGTTGTAGCTACACTGAGAGTAAAAGATAGATGGGATACAAGGAGAATAGAAGCATCAGGGAAGAGAGAGGTGAAGGTTCATAAACTAAAAGAGGAGGCAGTTAGGGTAAGATATAAACAGCTATTGGAGGATAGATGGGCTAATGAGAGCATAGGCAATGGGGTCGAAGAGGTATGGGGTAGGTTTAAAAATGTAGTGTTAGAGTGTTCAGCAGAAGTTTGTGGTTACAGGAAAGTGGGTGCGGGAGGGAAGAGGAGCGATTGGTGGAATGATGTAAAGAGAGTAGTAAGGGAGAAAAAGTTAGCATATGAGAAGTTTTTACAAAGTAGAAGTGATGCAAGGAGGGAAGAGTATATGGAGAAAAAGAGAGAGGTTAAGAGAGTGGTGAAGCAATGTAAAAAGAGAGCAAATGAGAGAGTGGGTGAGATGTTATCAACAAATTTTGTTGAAAATAAGAAAAAGTTTTGGAGTGAGATTAACAAGTTAAGAAAGCCTAGAGAACAAATGGATTTGTCAGTTAAAAATAGGAGAGGAGAGTTATTAAATGGAGAGTTAGAGGTATTGGGAAGATGGAGGGAATATTTTGAGGAATTGTTAAATGTTGATGAAGATAGGGAAGCTGTGATTTCGTGTATAGGACAAGGAGGAATAACATCTTGTAGGAGTGAGGAAGAGCCAGTTGTGAGTGTAGGGGAAGTTCGTGAGGCAGTAGGTAAAATGAAAGGGGGTAAGGCAGCCGGGATTGATGGGATAAAGATAGAAATGTTAAAAGCAGGTGGAGATATAGTTTTGGAGTGGTTGGTGCAATTATTTAATAAATGTATGGAAGAGGGTAAGATATCTAGGGATTGGCAGAGAGCATGCATAGTTCCTTTGTATAAAGGCAAAGGGGATAAAAGAGAGTGCAAAAATTATAGGGGGATAAGTCTGCTGAGTATACCTGGTAAAGTGTATGGTAGAGTTATTATTGAAAGAATTAAGAGTAAGACGGAGAATAGGATAGCAGATGAACAAGGAGGCTTTAGGAAAGGTAGGGGGTGTGTGGACCAGGTGTTTACAGTGAAACATATAAGTGAATAGTATTTAGATAAGGCTAAAGAAGTCTTTGTGGCATTTATGGATTTGGAAAAGGTGTATGACAGGGTGGATAGGGGAGCAATGTGGCAGATGTTGCAAGTGTATGGTGTAGGAGGTAGGTTACTGAAAGCAGTGAAGAGTTTTTACGAGGATAGTGAGGCTCAAGTTAGAGTATGTAGGAAAGAGGGAAATTATTTCCCAGTAAAAGTAGGCCTTAGACAAGGATGTGTGATGTCACCGTGGTTGTTTAATATATTTATAGATGGGGTTGTAAGAGAAGTAAATGTGAGGGTCTTGGCAAGAGGCGTGGAGTTAAAAGATAAAGAATCACACACAAAGTGGGAGTTGTCACAGCTGCTCTTTGCTGATGACACTGTGCTCTTGGGAGATTCTGAAGAGAAGTTGCAGAGATTGGTGGATGAATTTGGTAGGGTGTGCAAAAGAAGAAAATTAAAAGTGAATACAGGAAAGAGTAAGGTTATGAGGATAACAAAAAGATTAGGTGATGAAAGATTGAATATCAGATTGGAGGGAGAGAGTATGGAGGAGGTGAATATATTCAGATATTTGGGAGTGGACGTGTCAGCGGATGGGTCTATGAAAGATGAGGTGAATCATAGAATTGATGAGGGGAAAAGAGTGAGTGGTGCACTTAGGAGTCTGTGGAGACAAAGAACTTTGTCCTTGGAGGCAAAGAGGGGAATGCATGAGAGTATAGTTTTACCAACGCTCTTATATGGGTGTGAAGCATGGGTGATGAATGTTGCAGCGAGGAGAAGGCTGGAGGCAGTGGAGATGTCATGTCTGAGGGCAATGTGTGGTGTGAATATAATGCAGAGAATCTGTAGTTTGGAAGTTAGGAGGAGGTGCGGGATTACCAAAACTGTTGTCCAGAAGGCTGAGGAAGGGTTGTTGAGGTGGTTCGGACATGTAGAGAGAATGGAGCGAAACAGAATGACTTCAAGAGTGTATCAGTCTGTAGTGGAAGGAAGGCAGGGTAGGGGTCGGCCTAGGAAAGGTTGGAGAGAGGGGGTAAAGGAGGTTTTGTGTGTGAGGGGCTTGGACTTCCAGCAGGCATGCGTGAGCGTGTTTGATAGGAGTGAATGGAGACAAATGGTTTTTAATACTTGACGTGCTGTTGGAGTGTGAGCAAAGTAACATTTATGAAGGGGTTCAGGGAAACCGGCAGGCCGGACTTGAGTCCTGGAGATGGGAAGTACAGTGCCTGCACTCTGGAGGAGGGGTGTTAATGTTGCAGTTTAAAAACTGTAGTGTAAAGCACCCTTCTGGCAAGACAGTGATGGAGTGAATGATGGTGAAAGTTTTTCTTTTTCGGGCCACCCTGCCTTGGTGGGAATCGGCCAGTGTGATAATAATAAAAAAAAAAAAACACAACTTCCTATCTAGTATCATATGTGTTTCCTCCTCCACGTTGGTGGAGGAAGAAATTACTGGATGCCTGGGG